GAAGAAAAAAAAATATACAAAATATAATATATTTTTCGGTAAATATATCCCTCTAATCTTTAAACTAATATAATTTTAAATGTATACTGATTTTTTCAAATGTAATGTAAATTATGTTTTAATAAATATATCAAATTTTAATATCTATCACTCTTTTAAAGATCATGTTTTAAAATTAAAATTTGTTAAATATATTTCTTTTATGCTCTTTAATACATATCTTCTCAATATTGTGTTGTACATACAGCATTATTTTTCGTTTAAAAGTTAGATTATATACTTCAAATTATGACACATCTATTAAATGTTTAGACAAGATCACTTTTAGCATCTGAGACTCCAAAGCCTCAGCGTTCAACATCATGTTCCTTTCAAGCTCCCCTTTGGCAATCCTATTCATGAATGCAATGATCAATTTTGAATTTTTTCAATCCAATAGTACCCAACACAGATAATATCTCAGTTTAAGAATGATTTTTGTTATTATGAGAAAATTATTACGTATATTTCAATGCAGATGTCACCATAACTACTTGCAGCTTTACATATAGAGAAAGCAAAACTGATAAGAGAAGCAAAATAATAAAGAAGAGGAAGAGAGACTTAAAAGAATTAAAGACAAATTGAAAATCCTTCAAGGGTGATTGAAGGACTAATGATGAAGATGGAGAAAAATAAGTTTTTTAAAATAAATTTGGAATAAAATTATAATAAAAGATCTTTAGAATTAAAATAAAATTGTGGATAAAGTTCATGGATTAAAGTAGTAATTTGCCTAAATATAAGCTTAAGCAATTTAAAAACCCTTACACGTTTTACCAACCCAAACAAACTCTACCTACTTAACTACTCTTTACTCCAGTGTTTTCCTCTTCTTCGGGCCACCTTGCCTTGTTGTTCTCATCCTGTTAAATTCTTTGAATTATCAAGATACATCTTATTTACAGAGCTAAAATGAGACTAATTCAATACATAGAAACTGAATTGGATAGTTTTCTTTTTCAACTTCTCTTTTTTAATTATTAATAATAATTAATAAAATTAAAATTAAAACAAACATAAATTTATAAACCATAATCATTCTCAAACCACAATTAATAATAATTTATTTGATATCAGTTCATAATTAATTTTTAATTACTTTTCATAGAATTTTAGACCCTAAATAAACATAATTTGGTTTCAATCCACACTAGATTATGAACATCCCATAATAATACACTGCTAATTATTAAAAATATTTATATAATTAATCTCGAGTGTGTTATATAGCAATTTACAAAAACATCCTTCTATAAGAAACGCATAATTATCATTGAAATAATTCAATCTTCTATCATCAGACAGTCAATACAAAACTGACTGATCCGTCCAAACAAAAATGTTATTGGCTGATTCTGTTTACAGCAGGTAATGTATTACCTTATCCTCTACCCACTAGAAAACATGACAGAAAACAATAATTTTAAATAAAAAAAAATCAAAATTTGTCTAAGCTAACAGAACAAAAACTCTGGTAGTAGAGTGATAAGAGAATGAAATTTTAGCTATACCCAAAATTGCTATTAGATCTAACCCTAAAAAGTCGTAGATGGTATGCTTCAAGTAACACTGATCAGGGACATATAACCAATAACCAAGGATCCAGGGTCTTCTTCTTCCTCTTTGCCATGGTGCAATATACTTTTTAAGTAAATCAGATTATGCTGTAGGAATAAAAAAAAAAAAAACCCATAAGAGGGAGCTCACTTTCTTTTCAACTTCTTGGACGACTTCTTGTCCTTGATTCCCAAGTATGTGTCAACGTCATCTTCATCCCCTCCCCTCCTTTTCTTATTATGGCCCATCTCTTTGATTTTCTACAAAAGCATGATAATCATGTCAAATAACTTTTATAGTAGATATACAAATTAAATGACCAATTAATTATGTGAATATTAAACTATCACTGCCTGCCAACAGATTTCAGCATCTGGTATTGGAAATTCCTTTTTTTTTCTGGGGAAAAAGAAAACAAAACGAAAGATACAAGTAATACCATCTGTGACAATCTTTTGGCTTCTGTAACTTGCTCCAGCAGTAGCAAGACTTCCTCCTCCTCAGCAGCGTACTCTGGTAGCTTCTTGCCTGAGGTACAACCAACATTTTAGTGCTGGCACACTCATTTAAAATGGTTTTCTGCAACAATGGTACACATATAACTTACCAAGAAGCTTTTCTATCTGGAAGTACCACTCCAATTCATACTGATTTACAAGTGAGATGGCTACGCCCGATCGTCCAGCACGTGCAGTCCGTCCGACTCTATGGATGTAATCCTGTTAAGACACTTGAATTTGGTAAAAAAACTAGAAGGAAATATAAGTCAGAAACTAATGAGATCTTCCATGGTTTGTCTACCAAATACATTTGCAATGCCAGGATGCATGATTTCACAGCTACCAGTTACAAAAGTAACAAATTCACAAGATAATCATAAAGTTCAGATAGGAAGAACAAACTCCTTCACAGGGAGAAAATTTGGATGTCAATGCTAAACTACATAGCATGTATAGTCCAGCAGTAAGGATCATAAAGATAGCTACCTACCTTCGAATTTGAAGGGATGTCATAATTAATAACCATATCCACAGATGGAATATCCAGCCCTCTACTTGCCACATCGGTGCATACAAGAATGTTACATTCCCCAGCTTTAAACTTGTTTAACGCTCCAAGTCTTTTCGACTGAAAGAAAATTCCATCGACAGATTTTGGGTCACCAAGATCAATGCAGCAAAAAGAAAGGGGAAACAAGCTACAACTTCGTTAAACAAGTTCATGCATACACATTCAATACATACCTGGCTCATATGACCACTGATAGGAATGGCCCTTAAACCAAGGTTTCGAAAAACCAAAGCTAAAAAGCGGGTTGCATCACATGTTCGAGTGAAAACCATTGTCGTAGATGAAGACATCTCCGTCAGAATATATACAAGATAGCAATCCTGTAAGCATGGTGAAGTGAAGATACATGTAAGAGAAATGTTAACCATCAATAGAATAATAGTGTGAAACAATTAAAAGAGTGCAACAGCATCCAGTTTCAAATTGAATTTCTCAAATGTAGTTTCAAGTTAGCATTTCCTTCATAATACTGCACATGCCTGAACTAGAACCAGGGGTTCTCCCAAAAGAAATTCCTTCAATTTTCTTCAAAGGCAAAATACTGAGACTGCAGTGCGGCCCTTCCAGCCCCCAAAAGACACACCAAAACGTAAGAAATCCATGATTGAGGGAGGAAAAGCTTTGAAGATGAAAATGAATAACAAAAACATTTCCAAGTAATTAAAAGATTTCTCAACTGTTTATAGTTAAGAAGGGCTTCAAACATCCACAAATAATAGGCGTTTTAAGAATCACCATATATGGCTACTTCTGTAAAACAATCAGCTTTCTGATCGAATAAAGACAAATCATCCGCATCCGCATAAGATTTAATGAATAAAAGCAGATTTTAATTATTTAGCTGACTTTTGCAAAACTATCTGTGCAAATGTGTTCAGAGACAAAATATGTACAATCTGTGTCTAAATATAGGGTTAAATCAATTAACCCCATCAGTTTATAAGATGTATTAAATGGTACCATAAAATCAATTGAACTTGAACATAAAACGATTATGTTATGCATCCACAAAAAAAAAAAAAGAAATATGTTTCAGAAATCAACTAAAACTTTTACAACTTAACAAATTGGGCTGATTGATTTAAAAAAAAAAAAACAGAAAGAGCAATTTGATACGATAGATAAAATACAAGGGGCTTTTAAGATACTAATTATCAAAGTATATGTGCATGTGTCTTTCTTCGATGCAAGTAAAATCTTTGAAATATGAAACCACTGAAAGCTTCCGCCTTTTACACAGTTCTTTTTAGATAAACTGTTTCCGAAAAGTCTTTCTCTTAAAGAGCCTTCTTCTGATGAAATTTTTTAAATCAAACAACAAAAATATCTCTCCCTACCCCCAATCAGATGTAAATTTACATGTCAAGTTTTCTTGCACTAATTACAAGCATTTTCAACATGACATCTCCAAAAGCATTCAACATTGATAAAAGAAGAAACCTTGTGCTTTGCAGGAAGAAAACAAAACTGCTGCTTCAGTGTGTCAACAGTGGAATATTTAGAAGCTGCTTCAATCTGAAAAAACAGAAAACTATAATTGTTACAAGTGCAAGCAAAGTTAATCGGAGTGACTAAACATTAGTATTTATTGACAAACCTTCACAGGGTTCCTTAGACATGCCCTCTGGAGCTTCCGCACCTGTAAAAATCACAAGTAACTGGTCAAATTCTCACCCATGTTATATCTTCCCTCCTTCCCTTTGTCATTAGAAGTTTGTCGATCACTAAAAGATTGTTAAAAAAAATTAAAATTTCCATTTCAGTTGTATTCTAAAGTCAACAAAGATTTCAATTAAATAAAACTAACTGCAGCAATGTTAAAATGACCTTCGATATGCCAGGATATATAACTTCTCAATATAAATACAAACATAGAGTTACAAAAAAACAGAGCCAAAAAGGCTTTTGGAAAAACAGCCACCACATATTTAGTAACAATTGCTTATATACAATTCCAAGATTTGAGTCACCTTTTATTAAGTTTTGTTGCCTGAGGAAAGCTATACAATCACAGTTTGGGTACGGATCCAATAGAACTTGGATATGGAACTGATGTATGTATGAGCATTTTACAGCACCAAACCTTCTACAGAAAAGGAAATCCACTTCTCTTTGCTGCCTAAAAGAGCTAATCATTACTGGATAATAATACTTCCATCTAGATAGGTTAAATATGACATATAATATGTCCTTAATTCCTTAGATCAGTTAAGTCCTCTTCCTTTTGTCTGGTGCAAGCAATTGGATCACCATGAAAAGGTTTATCCTCCTTTCTCTCCAATGCTTTCCTTTCATATCTGATCATAAACTTCAGTCAGACATTCTTTTCTAAGTTTACATTTTAAACACATCTGATTATCTAGTTTTCACTATAGGCATTGGGGTTGATCATGCCATAAGAGAGGAGAACTACAATGCAATTCAATCCATATGCAACCATTCGTATGAATGGTACCAATGATATACAGGAGAAATCAAAATATCAGAGCATCCAAATAATGTTGAATGACACTCTTTTTTTCCTATTGGATCTGTTCACATTACTCCTCGGTGGTTTTGGTGCAATACTAGGTGTAAGTTGCCTCCAAATCTTAGGGCATATTTAATGGGATTTTGCTGCAATGAAAATGTCCTTCAACCACCAAGGTAGTTTTACGGTAGTAGACATGCTAGAAATCAAACAAGACGCACCTCACCACCATAGAAACGACTACACTAGGCCAATCTCCTTCAATTACTTCCAAAGTTTTGAGGGAATATTTGTAACACTGGTGGCATTACCTCCTAAACGCTCCCATGATCACAAGATCATTCTGGAATCCAACCACCATCTAGTTTTGGTCAAACCATCTTGATACCCTCGCCTCCAAGAGGATGATATTGAGAGGCAAGTGGAAGAGACAATTCAATAAGGAAGAATCCAACCAAGTCACTCTCCTTACTCATCCCTAGTTGTGAAGAAATCACATGGTACTTGGAGTTTTTGAGTGGATTACCATGCAACTCTTCCAAGAGTTAATCAATCATTGAAATAGGAAATTTACAAATGATATTGTCGATGATATATCAGTGACTTTCACATTGTTAACTTGGTTAGTTGGCTATAAAAGCTCCTCTCTAAAGTTTTGGCCAAAAGATTATCAAGAGTACTAAGTCAGATTATTGAGAAAAGTCAGCACGCCTTCGTTTTCAGGAGACAAATCACAGATATCATTCTTATTGCAAAGGAAATTGTGGATGATATATATAGAAACAGGGGCAGTGAGGTTTTATGTAAATTGGACATGGGAAAGGCCTTCGATCATGTCTACTAGAATTTTGTTGACTACATGCTTGGAAAACTTGGTTATGGCCAAAAAATGGAGAAGATGGATCAACAATTGCATCACCTCTACGAGTTTTGCAGTTATGGTTAACGGAAGCCCCTCTTCCTTCTTCACAGCTTCCAGGGACTTAAGACAAGTTGATCCCCTTTCTCCCCTATTGTTTATCATTGTGATGGAAGCTTTAAACAAATTCATAGAAAAGGCTAAAGACTTGAAGCTGATAAAGTGCATCATGGTGGGAAATAATGGCAATCAAATTGAAATCACCCACTTTTTCTTCGCCGACAACACTTTAATCTTCTGCCAGCCAGATGAACTCTGACCTCCTGAATCTGAGGTGCATTCTCCTCTGTCTCCAGGCAGTCTCTGGTCTCAAAATAAATCTGAAAAAGTTGAAACTTGTAGTGTGCGGTGATAATAGCTCCGGCCAATCTGTCTCACAGGTTTTGGGTTGCAAAGCATTGCAGCTTCCTATGAAATATTAGGGTATCCCATTGGGCGATAAGCATAAGGATAGCAGGTGCTAGGATCCAATCATTGAGTTGTTTCAAAATATATTGTCAAGCTGGAAAAGATAATTCCTCTCCAAAGGTGGTAGATTAATACTTGTCAAAAATACTCTCTCTAATCTTCCAAGGTGCTTACTATTCCAGTGAAAGTTGCTAAGAAACTTGAATCAATTCAACGCAATTTCCTTCGTGGGGACAACGAGACAAAGAAGAAACTTCATCCTGTTAGTTGGGATGAGGTTAAAAAACCTTTTGAAGAAATTAGTCTGGGTCTAAGATCTATTTGTGCTCTTAACAAAGCTCTACATGGTAAATAGATATGGAGATTCTGGAACGATAGCAATTGTTTATGGAAATTTGTCATTGATTGTAAATGATCTGGGAAAGACAAACATGATCTAACAATCCTAGAGAGCAGTCCATATGGTATGAGCCTCTGGAAAAGCATCATGCAATGCAACAAACCTGTCTTTGACTACACTAAATGGGTTGTTGGAAAAGGAAACAAGGTGCGGTTCTGGAGAGTTACTTGGTGCAGCTCTGATAAGCTCCAGACCTGTTTTCCCCTTATTTCACTATCCTTAGAGACAAAAATATAATGGTTGAGAGAGCTTATGATGATAGCAGCATCAAGGTTGGAATGTGGTGGTTAATAGAAATCTACAGGATTGGGAGGTGGATGAATATGAAAATCTGGTTCAAACTTTAGCTAATATTCAACTAAGCAACAAAGAAGACAAATTATGTTGGAAACTTAGGAAAAATGGGGATTTTTCTGTAAAGCCCCTCTACAGATTTTTGAATGGCCATAGTTCTACCAAACAGAGGAACTTCCCTACAAAGCTAATCTAGAAAGCTCATGCTCCTCCTAAGATATCATTTTTTGCTTGGGAAGCTGTGAAGGAACACATCTTCACTATGGACAACCCAATGAAAAGGGGTGTAATTACAGCTAATAGACGTTATCTTGCAAAAATTGTTCGGAAACCTGCAACCATCTCTTAATTTGGTGCCCCTTCACCTACAATCTCTTGGCTCTGGTTTTTGGGCTGCTGAGTATCTCATGGGTCATGGTTGGTTCTGCGATGAATGAGCTCCTTGCTTGGGAGGGACTTGTCGACAGGAACAAACACTTCAAACTTATCCCACTAATTATTTTCTAGGCTATTTGGAACGAAAGAAACAATAAAGCTTTCAAGGGAAAAGAAGTAGATTTTGCTACTATCAATGATAGATGGTTTTACTATTTTGGTTCAATCGTATTGGGGCACAACCTTGATAGGTTAGATGATTTTGGCTCCATTGTAGATATTTAAATTGATCTGTAAACTTTTTGTACATGGGTCACGCCCCATTAGCGCCGCCAACACATTAATATATCTCATACTTTTATTTCAAAAAAAAAAAAATGGAGCACGAACTTTACAAAGCTGGATCTTTGCTCAAGCTATCCCCCGTCAAACTTGAATGCATTATGATGACATCCCAAAGACGGCTTTTAGAACCCATCATGAGCATTATAAATTCTTAGCCATGCTTTTCGACCTCACTAATGCATCTTCAATGTTTGAGACCCTTATAAACATAGTTTCTTAAGTAGATATGCGTAAGTTTGTTTTAGTATTTTTTATGATATCCTCATCTACAGCAAAACATGGGTAGAACATTTGGGAGATCTCAGGTCAATTTTTTCATGGTTGCAAAATCATTTTAATAAAAATGCCTCTTTAAACAAACTCGGGTTTCTTTCCAGGAACCACAATCTCCAATGATTGAGTGGCTACTGAAGCAGAAAATATTTCAGCAATGTTGCAATGATTGAAGCCCGTGACAATCAAGGGGTTGCAAGGATTTTTAGGTCTAATAGGGACTATCAAAATTTATGAAAGACTATAGGGTGATAGCAACACCACACATTTCTGTGCTCTAGAAAAACACATTCACATGGACTCTTGAAGTTCTCCAAGGTTTTTGATTGCCTCAAGAAGCCGTGACTACAACTCTAGTGTTGGCTCTCTTCCACTTCTCAGAAAATTCTATTATAGAGTGTGATGCACTGGATTATAGAATCCAAGCAATTATCCAACATGGGGAGAAACTTGTGGCATTATTTAGCAAGACTTTGCCTGCTTGACAGTATAACTCGGCCGCTTTTTCTTAAGGAAAAAAATAGTATAGTAATAAGAAGCACCAAGAATGCAACCTATATACAAAGCTACATGCAAGTGCATCAAAATATCAATTAGCTCCCCTAAATCCTCATTAGATTAGAGAGGATAACCTTAAAAAAACTAGGGTTTTGAGTGAAGTATCCTTAATTCTATTAAAAAACAATTCAATACCCTCAAAAGTTCTCCTACTTCTCTCCTTCAAAATCACTCATAAGGTAGCCAGAGGGATAATGCCTAATTGCTTGTTATAGCACTTATCCCCTAGGATTCCTCACCATACCCACACTTTTATGACCAAACATGCCACAACCCATTTCACTTCCAATGGACTATAAGCCAAGCACCATAGTTGATAGGATACCAGACACCAAAGGAGATGACTGACCGTCACTGCTGCCCCTTTTGCACAATTAGCATCCATTCAATTACCTTTCCCCTTCTGATAAGATTGTCCACCTTTAAACGCGGCCCCTTACTGCTTCCCAAGCAAAAAAAGCCACTTTGGGAGATTCCTTAACCCTCCATATCAAATTCCATGAGAACCCCTCAAGCGCTGCTTCATTCCTTTCAAAACATTATAATATGATTTTACTATGAAGTCCCCTCTGCTGCTAATCTTCCAAACAGGTGCATCCAACGCTATGGATAGGCTCCCAAAAGATGATACGAATTGAATTAAGCTAACATATTTATCAATCTCCTAATATTGAGATTGCATACCAACTCCATCATCAAGACTCTATTAAGAACTACAACTTGCCTGCTTATGAGAAGGAATTGATTGAGTTATCACAAATCGTCTGCCATTGTAGACCTTATCGTGAAGAAAATTCTTTAGGGTCTGCATAAAAAAATTATAGCCTCAAGTTCTTACTAGACCAACAGGTGGTGATTACATTGGCTAAGCAAATTGATAGGATTCGTTCAACTTGAGTACCGGTATAGGAAGGAGAACATTGTTATCAATGCCTTATCCCATCAATTTGGAGACATGGGCACTTTGGCCAACATGCTAACATCATAACATGGAACAACTACAATCCATAGTTATCCTCCAACTTCGGCAATTCCTAAACAAATTTTGGGTGGATATCTCCATTGACTTTGTAGAAGACCTTCCTTCATCATGTGGAAAGAATACTATATTATTGTTTGTTGACCATTTCACCAAGTAAGTTTTTTTTACCGTTGTCTCACCCATATACCATGGTATATGATGTCGCCCACATATTCTTTGACAACATCTTTGTAGAAGGTTGGTTTTCATCATGTGACAAGAATGTGTTATTACTGGTTGTTGACCACTTCGTCAAGTGAGCTCCTTGTTACCACTGTCCCACCCATGTACTGTTTAACAACATTTTTAAGCAAGCTCTTCTTTACTATTGTCCCACCAATATGTCGTGATAAGCACCGCCCACACATTCTTTGACAAAAAAATTTAAGTTGCATAGGTTGCCTGAATCGACAATAAGTGACCATGATGTCACTTTTACAAGAACATTCCTAGAAAGAACTTCATTTTTTTTCTGTCATTAAGTTGGCCTCAAGTTCAGCTTACCACCCAATCGGATGGCCAAATAGAGGTTGATGACCAAACAATTGAAATGTATCTTCGGTGCTTTGCAAGCGGCAAACCGAAGTGTTCCATGGAACGGCTATCTTGGTCTGAGTTTTGTTATAAGACAAGGTACCACTCATCTTTGAAGCCAGTTAAAGTACTTTACGACCTATTGTCTCCCAAACCTCTCTTTTATTGTCTTGGCTAGCAAGAGTGCAGGTGGTGGACTCGGAGCTACAGTCTTGGGACAGTTTTAAAGGAACCTCCAGGAATGCACTGTCCATGCCCAAGCAATGATGGCGTTTATGATACAAATCAGTGAGAAGTACAATTCCAAGTAGGAGAAAAGGTTTGTTCAGCCTATAACATGTCAGCAACTATCCTTACGCTGCCACCACAACCAGAAGTTTTGTCCAAGACTTTATGGCCCCTTTGAAAAACGGAAAGGCTTTGGGGTTGTTGCTTAATGCTTAGATTGCCAGAACAACATGCATCTTAAAATATTACGTGGGAATGAAGGCACCTGAACATCACTAGTGCCAGCAGTTAAAGGAGAAATTCGACCAGCCTTATAAGTAGTACTGGGACAGCCAACTGCAGTTGGGCTCCGCATTAATTGCTGATACATCAAGGGAGGCTTTCCCAGCAGATGCCCCATGGGAGAAAGCAGATAACATCCTTAGACAAAATTTCACTTTGATGTTTGAGGGAAAACCTTGTCAAAGAGGGAGAAATGTTAAGGTAACTAAAGCAGTTAGCAATTAGGCCAGACATATTCAAACAGCTTACTATGCGGGGGGTCCATGTGACAACTAAAGTTTAGCCTTATCCTCCTAGATAAGCTAAAGGTTAATCCATAGAGGTTGAGTCGGCTAGGAGGGATGGTTAGAGTAGGAGTCTCTATTATAATAAGTGTTCTATTTTATACAGTATTTAAATTTTTCCAACAAGAAGTTGAATTAGGAGTAGATCTAATGGGCATCCAATTCTAAATCACTTCACCATAAATAAGTTATGATTACCTATTAAGTTGATAAGCTAGTCAATCTAAATTTTAGAGTTTACTCCAAGGATATTGGAAGCTCTCCTTAACAAGCCTCCCTATTGGCTGTCAAGGCCGGAATTCTAAAGGAGCAAGCAGCCAGCTTGTAGTGGACTTCACACTGTCTGGCCCCAAATCAAATTACAAACTCAGGACCATAACAACATTTTATATGTTGCTATGATATATATTTATTTCAAAAAATCTATATTATTTTTCCTAAACACATTAATATATTTAATTGGATATGTTTGTTCTTTTCATAACATAGACAAATATATATTTGTTTGGTGCTTGTACAGTCAAGCTAGAACACATTTTAAATCAAGCTCAAGCTTGATTTGACTCGGTACTTGTGTGAATCGAACTGAGCCCAATCTACTAGTTGGGCTCTTGATCAAAAAAAGAGCCCAAACAAAGTCAAGCTCAAGCTAAGCAATATTCAATTAAATCAAGTGCAAACACCCAATATTCAGCTTGGCTCATTTCCACCCTACTTCTAATACATAGTATACATTCCGTGTTTGGAAAAAGCAACAACAATCATGAAAAAGCATGATAAAAGAAGCAAAGATAGCAGACTACAACCTTAATAGTATAGGTGAACCGTATTTCATAGGTGGCTAAAATTCTTTTTTACAATTCTTAACAGAGGCCCACAATAATAACTGTGAAACCATAACTTTTTATCTATGGGAAGATTCAAATCATAAAAACTACTAAAGTTTACTTCACATAACTATAGGGAAATATTAACTTCATAAAAACATATTTCACACTCATCTAAAATGCAAATTTCTATAATTCTGATTCATGCTCCATAAAGTTCTATTAAATGTCTTGGAACGAGTGGGGTCACAAGGCTTAGAAGAGCCCATGGAATGAGTTTGTGGAGGAAAATCTTGATGCAATGGCCTATTTTCTTGGAAAATCTGCTGTGGAAGACTAGCAGGGGCAATAAAATCAGATTTTGGAAGGATATTTGGATAGATAATACGTGTTTAATCAGGAGATTTCCCATAATTTTTTCCATTTCTCAGACAAAAAATATGCTGATTCAGGATGCTTACAAGATTAACAATGGTTGTGTTGAATGGCTGATCAATGTCTCGAGAAATTTGCAGGATTGGGAACTCAGCAAGTTTGAAAATTTGCTACTTTTATTGGCTGCTCAATAGATGTCTGCTGGGGAGGACAAGGTGTTGTGGAAATTAGATAATAGTGGTGTTTTTTTCAGTCAAATCTTATTACAAGCACTTAATAGACAAAAACAATGTGATAAGTTTTGATTTTCCCTCTAGGCATATCTGGAAGGCTAAAGTACCCCCCTAAAATTGCTTTTTTTGCATGGGAAGCAAATAGAGAATGCATCTTGACAATTGATAAACTTAAAACTAGGGGGTTGGCCATTCCAAACCAGTGCTATTTGTGTATGGCTAATGAGGAAAGTTGTGTACATGTTCTGCTGCAATGTCCTGTGGCTTCTGGGTTGTGGAATGCTATTTTTAGTATGATTGGTGTTAACTGGATGATGGCTGGATCTATTAAGGAGGAATTGTGGGCTTGGGAAGGAATGCATGTAGAGAAGAAGTTGAAAAATCTAATTCCTTTATCTTTGTTTTGGATTCTATGGAAGGAGAGAAATTCTAGAGCTTTTGAGGGTAAAGCTAATGATTTATATAGTTTGAGAGACAAGTGGTTGCATTATTTTGGGTTTTTATTGTTAGGGCATGACATGATTAGCGATGTGGATTTTGAACATATTATTGATTCGCTAACTACATTGTAAAGCTTTTGAATAGGGGCGATACCCCTGATTGTTTGGTACCATGTTAATAGAATTTCACACTTTTTATTTCAAAAAAAAAATGTTTTATTAAATGTCAGACTATTACTCTTGAAAAGCATGCTTTCCCAATTAAGATATTTAAGTATGTACCTTCTTCGTCATAGTTGCAGAAAATAAAAATGTTCTTCGCTCGCGAGGGATAACTTTCAAAATCTCATCAAGTGATTTCTCAAATTCTTCGTTCAGTAATCTGTCTGCCTCATCCAAGACCTACTCAGAATTCAGTAATCATGAAACTGATAAGCAAAATTTTCTAGTAGTAAAAAAAAAAAAAGAGAAAAGCCAATGTCGATTTCAGTTTAGTGTTTAAAAGATGTAGGTTTATCAACATGCATTCAGTGCCACATACTACATGCACATCTTATTTAGATCATGTATGAATGAGCAGACCCATTATCAGCATTATAAGTTCAACA